CCCCCCAAAGGGGACAGGGCGCTTACCTCGGGTCGCTCCCCGCAGGGGTGAGAAACCCCTCAGGACCCCAAACGGGGTTGGGCCCGGCGGGGGTCAGCGCCCCAGCACTGGGAAGGTGCTGGGGAGCCCCCGGGCGCAGCCCCAGCCCCTCACCGTGGCGGCAGGGCCGGGCCTGGGGGGCCAACGCCACCTCCAGGGCGGGGAAACGGGGGGCTGGGGGCTGAGCTGGGCGCAGGGGCAACCCCACAGCACCCCCGGCCGCGGCGCGGGAGAGCTGGGTGCACGCGAGCCCCCACCCCAGGCTCCCACTGGGACCAGCACCCATGGGTGCACGGGGACCATCCCGCTGCTCCTTCCCCTGCCTCAGTTTCCCCAGCTGGGGGATGGGACACCATCTCTCCTTTTGGCACGGCCGCGGCTACCCGCGCGGTGACAGCTGGGGACAGCCACGGGCCCGGCTATTTCAGGGAGGTTATTTTTACCCCTGGGTTTCCCAGCAAGGGGCTCAGCGAGGTCCCTCCCTCCCTCCCACGCTCGCCCCTTTGCTCCCTTTTACTCTTTTTAGCTTTTTCTAAACCCAAGCGGGAACTCTCCGGCAGCGCAATTGCGTGGATTTGGGGTGAAACATTAATTACGCGTGAGGTTAAAACCGAGGGCGCTCGCAGGAGCGGGCAGGGCCCAGGCGCGGGGTCCCCAGCGCCCCACTCCCCCCCCCACGGCTCCGTCCCCTTCGCTCCCTGCGTCCGCCGCGGGTAGCGAGCACGAGTCCCTCGTCCAGGGCCAGGACCAGGGCGAACCTCCCTGCTTTGTTGGATCGCCACGAAGGACGAGGAGGAGGCTGCCGTCCTTGCCTTCACTAGTCAGGCTGGTCGTCCTGGGGGCTTTCAGGCCCCTGAGCTGGGAGATGGAGATAGGAAGCAGAATGAAGCCCCAGTCGTCGAAGAGGTGGCGGTCACCGACCTGCTCCTCCACCTGGATGCGCACAAGTCCATGGGGCCAGATGGGATCCACCCGAGGATGCTGAGGGAGCTGGCGGAGGAGCTCACCGAGCTGCTCTCCATCGTTTATCAGCAGCCCTGCTCAACCGTGGAGGGCCCGGA